AAAAAGAACAAAACTGACGTTGTTATGTACGGATATTTTTAAAGAAAAAAAGTTACGACTATAGCAAAAACTTAACAGAATGATATATCTGTAATATCATTCTTAGGCATAAGGAGTTAGAATACAGGTTCTTATGCATTGAGTTAGAATATGGGTTCACAACAAATGGTAAAAGCATACTGAGAACATATTTCAAAACAAGGGAGGCTCTTTGAACAGCCAAATTAAATTATAGCTGAACTCTTGAGTGTACTGAGGGTTCTAATAAGCAACAAATAAAGACTTTTATTGGCTAGCAACATAATGAGAGCTACTGTGCAAAAGATTTTAAGAAGGACAAATCTGGGTAGTTTATCTCACTGGATTATATTATTTACTTAAATGATAAATATGTTTGTCTAAAGTAATGCTCCTAAAAACTAGTATATAAATATTAAGGTGCAATTATGATCAATGACTCTTTAACATAAACCTATCACAAATGTTAATGGAAAGTGGTAAAAATGAAATTAAATGACAATTATTGAATGTAATATCATTTAAGTCCTATGTCTTTAACTTATTTTTTGATCCATAAGTCAGGTTTATAAATAGTTTAACATTTATGCTTAGAACACGAAGCATTTATTTTAAAGAAAATTTCTCTCTGGAATACAGCAGTTATACGTAGAACTACTCCGAAACCATCATTTACTGAAAAGGAGTTGTCCTTCATAAACCAAAAGAAGTTAACTCAGTTCTCAGTGATTTGGTAGGAAGTTACTTTTAATAGAACTCTGAAGGTTGGCCTCCTAAAATGAGAGTAACTCCCTCAGTTGACAAAAACTACAAACAGTAGTTAGTCAAACCAAAACATTTAAAATACAGTATCTGGTTGCATTTTGCCTGATCTTTAAATCACCTGAAAGGCAAAAGCCTAGAAAGCTTAGCTGATACCTTGACTGTTCTTATAGAAAGTTCTTTTGCTTCTGTCACTGTTTTTTTTAATAATAATAAAAAAAAATAGCACCTCCCAATCTAAACACTGAGCCAGTATTCATTACCCACTCTTTTTTGTGCAACATTCTGATGGCCAGAGTGTTTTTTAAACCTTAAGTATATCTAATAAAATCATGAGGCTCCCTCTAGCTCTTCAGAGGGGAGTTTACTAACCAATGATACTATATAATTCCCATCCAACAGGAAAGATGTGAGGAGGCTACCTCCCCTTCCATAAGAAATGTTTTCCACTCTGTTTCTTGTAAGGATGTAGATGGTAAATGAGACCATCTGCTGAGTAAATCAGAAAGCGTTGCTCCTTATCTATTTATCAAGTTAAGAATATATTAACTGCTTCCAGCGTAAGCTCTATGTACAGAATTCTATAGTGAAATTTTAATCTGTTTAAACCATACAACATAAATTTCCCCACCCTGTCTAAAATTAATTTTAATGTCAAAAAAAAAATAACAACATGTATGAACATCCACAGAAATGCAAACTTGTGGTCTGGTCTCAGTTTTAAAAATCTACATTTAAATACAGAATCTCAAAAATTCAGACAAAAAACACTTCATGAACTGTATCTGTGGGGTTTATATAAAACAAAGATGCTAATAGTATAGAAAACATTTTAATATACCATAGTATTTATACGCAACACTAGTATAACGACTTTTTTATTGTTTAATCTTACCTGCAATTTAGTATTGGATATTTGGGGATCATACGTTGTTTAGAAGACTACAAATAATATAGTTGAAGTATGCCATCTTACAATAACCATAAAAGCCACATTGTCGACTGGCAAATCATCTCCAACAACTGAATCTGAACAATACTAAATTGAACTCATATTCACTAAGGCCATCTTTCAAATACTTAAGGAATATTTAAAATCTTGCTGAACCCTTAACTCTAAAATTAAAAGTAAAGGAAACAACTAACTTCAAGTCATCATCTATTTTGGACTCCCTTAATATTAAGAAATATTCCCAGGAACAACAACAAAAAGAATAGCTCCCTCTACCCCCCCCACCCCCCACCCCTTTTTGAGCCAGTGTCCAATTTCTTCCTTTCTGAACAGCTGTATTATCCAACTTAAGTTGCTCTGCTAATTTCAGTCCCACAAGGACTAACTTGGAAGGCAAAAAAATACAAGAAAAGATCAATTTGCTGGGAAAGATCAAATGAGAAAACTGTGGGGACAGCACCAGGTCAGCGTGTGGAGAACTAAGCAGACCTGTTCTTCATTAACTGCGGCTCTCTGGGGATGTCACACACTACCTGTCCGTGGGCTTTATTGAACCGCCTAACCCGCCTCTCTGTTCCATTCTTCTGGGCCCAAGTGAATCATATCCTGCTGCTGACAAGTTAGCAGGGGACTGCGGCTGCAACATGAAAGTACTTTTCTTTCTTGTCTAAATCAGGCAGATTTTTGAAAAGACGACACAGCATTGACTCGTGACATGGCAAGATGAAACGAGAGGTCTGGGCCGGTCTTGGAGCTGTGCAGATAAAAGTAATCAAATGACACTCCTGGAATGCAAATTGGCATTCTTGACTGCAGCAATTGCACAACCATGAAACATCCCTGACAGCAAGCAAGATTAGGACAAAATGTTATGTAAAGCACTGAACTCAAGAACTCTCACTTGAAAATTCAAACTGTAACACTTACATTTTAATATAGCAATAGTCAGCTCTGCTTTTGTCTGCTTCTTTTTGTAATCGCATATCCCTATCTGACAGGTATCTTACATCTCAAACAGAAGAAAAAAAATCAGGTATTATGAATGTACTGCCGCTATTAATATTTTCCTAATATTAATTGTAAAATATCATGCACAGTTGATTCTTATTCAAAGTCTTACATGCAAACACCACCCAACTTAATATTCTCAGGGAGGAAAAAAGTTTCAGACCTTTCTCAAAAGATACTCAAAGTTCACGTTCAAGCTCGTTATTACTTCCCCCAGGTAAAGATACTCCTGTACTTTGGTAAAGTGATTAGCAATCTGGACTTTTAATACAGTGTACTCTGGGAACTAAGAACTTCATTAAGACTGAACAGTTTAAATGAAACAGCTACAAATATAATATAAAATACAGATACTCTCTAAAGGCTCACAAGGGACTCTGTGTGTGTGTATGTGTGTGTGTGTCCAAAGAGTAAAAGTTTGTACAAGGTCTAACTACTAGGGTGCATCTTCAGATCAGACACACAAAGTAACAGTGCCAGAAATAAATTCGTCTCATTTAAAGCATGTATGCGTGTGCACAGTAACATCTGAAACTGCAGAATACGAAGCAGTGGAAGGCAAACAGGCTTAGCCACAGTTCAAAGTGATTAGTATATGGGAATAGATGTGTAGACAAATAGTTAATATAGATGTGTAGACAAACAGTTAATATAGGCTAGGGTGAAGGGAAGAAAAATAAAACCTGCAACCGGCTTTTACAGTATTCCTGTGTAAAACGCCCTTTAGAAGAAAAACTCTCAAGCTCTAAACAGATATATTTAATATTCTGTTTTGATGTCTCACTTAAATGCAGCTTTCAACAATTGCAAGTGTCCACAAAGTATATAAAAATAATAATAAAACAGGCCACTTTCTGCCACTTTAATCCTGGGTACACAGGATTATTTTATGATGTCTTTTGTACGTCAGTTTTACAACAGCCTGACTCTAGGGTAAATGGGAAGCATCATAAATCGCACGCTGCTTTCAAAACCACTTTAATTTCTGTCAGCGTTACTGTAACCACAGTCCTGGGTTCACGCTTTTGTGTGTGTGTGTGTGTGCACGCGCGCCTGCATTTGACAGTAGCATCTCCTACACTCCAGTTGTGACTTTGATCACTGAAACAAGAGATGTCACATTAGGGAGAAGGGAAGAGGAAAAAAATGCCAACCCGCTATCTCACCTCTATTCTTACATGTTCCCTCTACATACGGAACACACTATGTCAGATGCCCAAGTGGGGGTAACAATAGCAACGCTGGGTGGAAGCAAACTAAAAAGAAGGGAGTGGTCAAGCCCCATTTCTAACAAATCACTTCCCCGAAAGCGGACAGAGCGGCTCATCACCAGGCGAACTAATTGCACTTCCTCGCTGCAGAGAAGTCTCTTCTCGTAGAGGGGCTGTGCTGGAGTCTCGCTTCGCAAAGCCAGCCCATCTCCTCCACCACTTGCACTTGGAACTTTTTTTCAACCTTAAACTCACTTCACAGGAGATTTCACCTAGGGTTTTTCAATGTATATAATTTTTTATCTGCTCCCTCCCCGGGCCCCAAATCCCACCCTCCAGTCAACGTGCAAGTAAAACAAACCGGCTCCTATAGAATTGCACTTCGAAAAGAGCCGTCTCTCTGCAGGGTTGATGTTCCTGCCCTGCGTTCTGCACTTTCTCCGCAAAGCCTGCGGGAGCATTTCCTCCCATCTCCATTTACCACTGGAAGGTTCCGAATGTGAAGAAGATGGGAGGGGAAGAGTCAACGTGCCGGGGCCTGGGCGGCTGCGCCCGAGCGCACCCGGCACCCACGCCCAGCCGCCGGTCCCTCACTCGGCGGCAAGTTGTAAAAGTTCCCGTAGGTCCCAGCCGCCTTCCTCTCCTCCCCGAGCTCCTGCCAGCGCTCCATTCATCCCCCGCTCCCCTGCACCTCGTCCCCCCAGCCAGTCCCCAACTCCCTGGAGCCTCCCCTAGCCAGCCGCTCACCTTCGCGTGGAAGCCGCGAGCGGGGCCGACCTTGAGGAGCCCCCTCACACGCGCACCCTCCCACCTGGAGCTCGCCTCGGAAACTTGGGGCCAAGTTTAGGGGAGGACACTGAGAGCGCAGCGGGGATCAGGTCGGACGGGGGTTGTGGTCCCCAGCTCGCCCTCCTCAGCGCCCCCTTGCCCCTCGCGCCGCGGGCCGGAGGGCGGACACGGCCCCCGGGCGGCCCCGGTGGCGCTCGGGCGCGGGGGTCATTTCTGAGGAAGTCTAGAATAAAAAGGGAAGGAGGGTGGAAACTTCTTACCATCTCGGCATGCTGGTTGTCAAGTGCAGCCCCCGCCTCTTGGTCTCCTCTTAGCGGCCGCGCCTGGACCAGCCCCTCGGCCGCCGCTGGCTCCCTCCGTCTCGGCCTTTCTCTCCCTCCCCCTCCGAGTTCCTCCGGGCCGCAGCTCTCGCCGCCTCCGCCTCCCCGCCCGCCCGCGCGCGCCCTCGCCGCGGCCCCTCTGCGCTCAGGTGACTGATTTACACTCGCGCCGGGGTCGCGCTCGCGCCCCGAGTCCCAGCCGGCACGGTTCCCCGGCTCCTCCTCGGGACGGAAAAAAAAAAGAAAAAGGGAACGGCCTGTCCCGGGAGGGGGCTGCCTTGCTCGCGGGAGGGGGGGGACCGGCGGGCGAGGTGACCTCGGGGGCCGTGCAAGCCCCACAAGTTTTTCCTCTCTGCAGAATTGTCGTGACTACAATGTTGCTTCCCTTTTGCAAAATAAAAGTCGGTTCGTTGTGTTGTTTGTCCTCAGAGGTCCAGGGGCTTGGGGAAGGAGGATGTATGTTTCTCCCTCCCCCCGCCCTGTGACTTGTTTGGGGGCTTTTTGTTTGTTGTTTGGGTTTTTCTTGCTCTCTCTTTCTGGGGATGGAAAAAACAACTTTGTGGGGATGGAAAAACAACCCTGGCGCCCCCGCCGGGGGCTGCGGGCGTGGAGGTGGAGGTGGCTGCTAGCGCCCAGCTGTGACCAAAAAAAAAAAAAAAAAAAAAAAATGCGGGGAGGGTGTGGGGAGCGGAGGGAAGGAGAGGAGGCTGCGAAACGCCGAGGAAAGGGCGCGAACTTTATTCCGACTGCAGCAAACCGCGGCGGCTCTTTCCTTTTCGGGCACTCGGGCGTCTCTGTCCCCTTTGACCAGTTCCTCCTCCCCAGGCCCGCACGCCCCCTCCTCCCCTACCCCTGCTCCTTCTCCGGCGTCCCCGCCGCGGCCGCCCCGACTCCCCGCGCCCCTCTCAGCCCAGCTCCTCTGCGCGCCGCTGGGGCGAAGGCGAGCGAGGCGGAGGAAAACCCAGGGGACAGAAACCCGGGACAAGAACGTGCTGGGAGAAAAGGCCAAAAGTAGCGCGCAGCTGGGGGAAAAAGTTTTTCTGGTGGCGGCGCGTTTTGTGCCGGCCCAGACGCCGGCTTGCGGCGAGGGCTTCCTTCCCCTTCCCCTGGTCTGGGCCGCGGGCCTCGGGCTGGAGAGGAAGGAGGCTGTCGCGCCCGCGGGGGAAAGAACAGTCACATCTGTGGGTGACACGCAGCCGACCCAAGTCACCCTGCCCTGGAGACTCAGAAACGCCGGCTACAGGCTAAGCGCGCACACGCCTGCAGCTGAAGGACATTTCTTAAATGCAGGCAAAACACACTCCCCGGCCGCAAGAATGGGGCGGGGGTGGGGGGGAGCTTAATCATCATCATGTAACTAACGTACACTTTGTGCCAAAAACATCTCCGCGTTGTGCAGATTTATCATAGCTAGAGCAAACTTTCTGCTTATCTAACATGGGAGGAAGGCATAGGTTTCAAGCATACTCCCTGAGCACTAAGAAATCAGGGAATCGGCGAAGACTTGGCAGAACAGCAGGTAAGGTTACCGGTTCCTACTGAAAAGTGAGAATCATCCCTTCTTCCTCTCTTCCTCGAATAGAGGGAGAGAGAGACTAGTTAATTGCATTCAGAGGACAGAATTAAATTCCTTTGAAAATATATAGCCTTGGAATTACATAGTTTTATTTTATTTGCAGAGTCTGGTCTTAGTTTAATATAAATTTTAACAGTAACTAATTTTTTAAAATTTTTCGAAAGCCGCTGAGAGTCCCAAGTAGCCACAGCTGTCTTGAAAATGTGATTAGGTGGCCAAGCGCGTGACTCACGCCTGTAATCCCACTTTGGGAGGCCGAGGCAGACGGATCACCTGAGGTCAGGAGTTCGAGACCAGCCTGGCCAACATGGTGAAACCCCATCTCTACTAAAAATACAAAACTTAGCCGACTGTGGTGGCGGGCGCCTATAATCCCAGCTACTCGGGAGGCTGAGGCAGGAGAATTGCTTGAACGCGGGAGGTGGAGGTTGCAATGAACCAAGATCATGCCATTGCACTCCAGCCTGTGCGACAGAGCGAGACTCCATCTGAAAAAAAAAAAGAAAAAAATGGGATTAGGCTTATTATTCACGTGGATCCAGCTTTTTAACACGCACTTGCAGTTCTGTGTACTGACTGGTTCCAAATTCCGACCGTTTCCTGGCCCTTTCAAAGAAGATTTCTGCATTTGTGGATTCTGTGCATCATTTTGTTGTGGAAAAATGTGTCTGGTAAACACTTCTCCCATATTATTTATCATAAATAACTTAGAGGTCTGGGCACAGGTTGCATCTGCAGGTTTCCAATGAAAGACAAGATTACTTTTCTCACTACAGCATAAATCAAAGTATACACTAGATCTCCCAACAACCATATATATATCTATATATGTAATATATAGATATTTAAATGCATGTTATCTAAGAGGGCTCATCTTTAAATGATTTAAGGTGTAGAGCATGTTCCCTTATTTTCTAAACATAACTAACATCATCTTGTAGTTTGCAGAAACTGATTACACAAGGGATAATGATGACCAAATGTGCATTTTGAACAATTGAGGATCATCACAAGAATTTTCCAGAAATGAGCCAAGTTCCAGTATGTTTTTCTTGCATCATGGAGAGATGAGAAAAGCTAGTTGCTAATTTCATAGTCATTACCCATACAAATCCATTCACACACTTACCGCTTTGGACAAGTGACAGATCAGCAATTGCCAAACAATTGTATTCACACAGTGCATTTTTGGCTGCACACCTACACTGGCCAACATGCAGAAGTTATTCCACATCAAGCAACCTGTAATTTACATTCCCCTGATTGGTTCCAGATCTGTCTGTTTTTGATATTAGCATACAAACAATTTATGTGAGGCAAGATGCATCTATTTGGGATCTCGTGCCTTTCTGGAGACTCATCATGTTAAAAATGGGGAATGTGTTAGGCTGAAGAGCAGCGCTTGGAGAAGGTGGAAGAATTTACAGAAGGAAGCAAAGCCTAGCATTTAAGAGGATTCCATAGTCTCATTTCCTCTAGCGGTCTGTATGGCAATTGGAATAAAACCTTAAATCCTTTTTGTATCCTGCAAGACCTGAATGATCTACACCCGCCTGAGTTTTTCGAATGTTTTATTCCATTTGTTCATTACCATGATGGACTACACTCAAGTCACGTTGGCTTCCTTTCTGTTCCTCTAACTTGCAGAGCTCTTTCCTGCTCTTTTCCCCTGCTGTTCTACCTGGAGTGTTCTCCCAAGTTTTCCAGTGATTCCTTCTTATTTCTATCTCAGCTCTAACAGCAATTCTGCAGACTCTAGTTTAAATAGCTCTTGGCCCACCACCCAAAACACCCCTCATACTTGCTATTACTTATTTTTGTATCCCTTTTCTATCCCTTATCAATATCTGAAATTGCCTTCTTAGTTTATGTGTTTATTATTTTTCTTCAAGTAAAATGGAAGCTCCACAAGGGAAACAACTGTGCTGCAGGTCCTTGAATAACATCGTTTCATTCAATGTCCTTTCATTCAACTGCCTTTTGTTACAAGGCTGAGAAAAGAAAAAAAAAAAAAAACTGATTCCCTGCCAGGGCCACTGTCTGTGTGGCATTTGCACATTCTCCCCGCTGTCTGCATGGGTCTTCTCTGGATACTCCAGTTTCCTCCCACATCCCAAAGATATGCCCCTTGGGTTCTTTGGAGTATCCACATGATCCCCGTGTGAGTGTGTGTGTGAGTGTGCCCTGCATGGACTGATGGCCTGTCCAGGGTTGGTTCCTGCCTTGCACCCTGAGCTGTCCAGATAGGCTCCAGCCACCTGCATCTCAGAACTGGAATAATTGTGTAAATATTTTAATTATCTGACTGGGCACGGTGGCTCACACCTGTAATCCCAGCACTTTGGGAGGCCAAGGCAGGCAGATCACTTGAGGTCAGGAGTTTGAGAGCAGCCTAGCCAACATGGTAAAACCCCGTCACTATTAAAAATACAAAAAATTAGCTGGGTGTTGTGGCGTGCGGCTACAATCCCAGCTACTGGGAGGCTGAGGCAGGAGAATTGCTTGAACCCGGGAGGCAGAGGTTGCAGTGAGCCGAGATCATGCCACTGCACTCCAGCCCTGGGCAACAAAGCAAGACTCCCACCTCAAAAAAAAAATATATATATATATAATTATCCTAATTGTTTGTATTAATCTTTAAGTGTATGTATAGCTCACATTTATTTCAGTGTTTCAATATTAGAAGTATTTGGGGTCTTTATTTAGAAGTTTGGTGATGTTTTGTGACCAGAAATATCCTGCAGGACTCTTATTTATAGCAGCCTATGGTAAAATGGATTTTGCTTATTATTTTGCTTAAAGTCACAGTTTCCAAGAACCTATTCATGATAACGTTAAGTGAGGACTTTGTTCACTTATATAGCCTCAGCCCATAAAACAATGCCAGGCACAAAATAAACTCATTTAAGTATTACTTGAATTAATGAAGAAATGTCAAGAGGATTACACTGCGTTGTCTGAAGACCTTAAGGCCAAACAAGGTCAGTGTAAGAATATGGCGGGGGAAAGGGCTTTTTCTTTTAGAGAATGTAGCAAGCACTGTTCACTTCCAACACCAGCCCTCCTCAAAGTATGTTCCTGGGACCCCGAAAGATCACCAAGACCGTTTTAGGAAGTCCATGAAGTCAAAACTGTTTTTATCATGATACTGGGAAGTTATTTGCCTTTCTTACATTCTCTCCTGTGAGTGTTCCAATGACAGTGTAACAGGTGGTATCACAACAGACTGAATGCAGAACCAGATATGAGAATCCACCTGTCTTAATGGGCTGTTAAAGAAATGTGCCAAAAATGTAATCAGTGCACTCTGCTTCTCACTAAGTTTTTTTTTTCTTTCTTTCTTGAGATGGAATCTCTCTCTGTCATTCAGACTGGAGTTCAGTGGCACAATCTCGGCTCACTGCAACCTCTGCCTCCCAGGTTCAAACAATTCTCCTGCTTCACCCTCCCAAGCAGCTGAGACGACAGGCATGCGCCACCACACCGGCTAATTTTCGTATTTTTAGTAGAGACAGGGTTTCACCATGTTGGCCAGACTAG